CCTGCTGGAACAGAAGACAATTACAAAAGGTAACAATTTAACACAGACATACTCATGCATCTGTAACATCCAGGTTCACCCAAAGCTCTCCTGAAAAAGTGTGCTGCATCAAATCAGAAGCAGCAATGGAAGCATGCTTTGTGGTACTACCTCTTTGTTTTACCGTAAGAGATTTCCTTTTCTAATTTTGTAAAAGTATAGAAAATGAATTCTAAAGAAGTTCAGATAACAAGCAAGAGCATAAGCAGCAAATGTTAGGACATACACTGTATTCTTCTGCTTTACATACTCATTTTTTTTGTCTTAGGCATGAATCACACAAATATTTTCTACCAAAATGAAGGAATTTCTGTAGTGGGAACTGGATGTGCCTAATCCTCTATGTAAGTACAACAAACCTGGCTGCTCTAGGGGTAGCTAATAAATGACTCCTTGCACTGCCACACACTTTAATAGCACTGGCTCCTAAAGCAGTTCTACTGAAGATGCCCATTTTTATTCCTGCCTCTTAGCTCAGTGGAATTGAACAATGGCTCCATTAACCTAAGATAGTTGTAAGTAATATCTATTTATTGCTTCCACATTTCGTTTAAATGTTTAAAGAATTAAAATGCACAAGGCAAATGACAAAGAAATAAAATTTTCTTATTTACTATCTCTTCATAAAGACTGAGTTATTGTTTATAAAGCAATCTCCACTGATGTGGAGAGCACTGCAGACCAGCCCAAGGGCACGTTATTTGTCAGAACAGCAGCACCATTGAAATCACTACAAAAACTTCTTTCTGTATAGCATCTCTCCACAGTACACCATCTACTACCTGAAGGTACATGGATTACTCTCTAGAGTCTTATGCAAGTCAAAGTACTAAACTTGCACAGGGAACGGAGGCAGTAATGCTAATTGTAGAACTTCTTTACAAAGGTATTTTCTAACTCAGCAGCTTCCAGAGAAAGCTGGTCAGCCTGTAAATGATTACCAGTAATTAGAACTTCCATCCTTCAAGAGCACGTGTAGAATTTTATCCTTCAAAATTTTAAACTGTTTCCAGAAGGCGGAAATTCTTAGGAAAATAAAGTGACTTACATTACAAGCTGATAGAAAGCAGACCAGTTTAATGCTTTCACCCTCATTCTAGCAAGAGATGGGTTGAGAGACTGTACTGAAAAAAAACCTGATAAGTGGGGCACAGGGATTAACCAAGATTGCAGAGCCTAGAGTAAAAATACTGCAAATACACAGAAACTGGGGAAGGTAAAATAATTCATGTAATTGAGGTTTCTAGTAAATAAAGAGCTGTTAGAAGATATAAAAAAAACCCAAAAAAACTGTTAAAAATGGAACATTTTCCATCACTGATGGAAGTTAAGAGTATTCTAAATAAAATCAGCTAGAGCTTTTTGATTGCTACTATTCAATCAAAATCTTTCCATTTGAGGAAATAAGCATCTCTGCTGACTGACCTGGTAAAACTGCTGCTGCTTCAGCTAAAAAGAGTCTTCAGGATTTATTTGCTGTGATTAAGTTTAAGGGTCAATCTAAGCAAGACTTATTAAGTCTTATATCCAAGTGTAGTACTAGAATATTAAATTAAAATATTAACATTATGGTAGTCATCTAATTAAATGCAAAATACATTCAAACCAATTCATATTATGTTCTTTCATCATAAAACTAAAGCAGCTCCATGAATTTAAGCTATTTAAAAAATACACATCTGCACCAAGCTTCTGCCTGATGTGACTTGACACAGGTGAGATACAGAGAATGATGACTGAAACACTGACAGATTCTTAACTCTACTATTGCTGGCGAGACACTATGATGACTAATAAACACCTCACATTTCAAGGTTCTCAAATCTATGGCAAGCAACAGAGCGAACACAATAAAAGCCTCCCTGTTAAGTTCTCCAGGCCTCTCACGGAGCTCTTCACAGAGGAAGATACACAGCCTCATTCAGCTGGCTGGAACAATGAAAGTTTCTGTTTGCTCCTAGAACACGTCACAGGAATACAACAATGCCCCATTCCAATTATATACCAACTGCTAATGCTGAGGACCTGTATGAGAAAACCACGCTGCACAGACTGGAAATGAAGCGAGTAGACACCAGCTGAAATTCCTGATTTCATGAAGGTTTTCGTTAATGTGTTCATGACAACTATAAGTAATTATATTTACTGTGTGTCATGTTTTACATTAATTTCCGTAAGAAATGTATAGACTGCTTCCTTATTAAACTTCAGCACTGCCAGAGATGATGTGTAAGTATTTACTTTTTTGAGTAGTGACATGGCAGAGGGGGTTGGACTAAAAGATCTCTACACCCAACCCAACTCAAACCATTCTATGATTATGATTTTTAAAAAGTGTGCTACTGTTCTGGTGTTTCTATTACCTCCACATATCAGGGTGGGATCTTATCAGAGATGAGTATTTATAACCCAAAGAAGATGCACAAACTAAAAGCAAGAAATTCTATTACATTTACAGACTCGTGCTCACAGCTGTGATACGGTACAATTAAGGTCCAGCAACAGGATTACTGTGCCGCAAACAGTGCCATACATCTGGTTTAATATCAAATCCAGTCTGAAAGCAATTTTCAGGAAAAAAACCAAACCAGTAAACAAACAAAAACCAAACAAACCAAACATGGTGGTTAGCCTTACCTTGGGTAGATTTAAACATGCTTTGCTGTTTGCCAGCCGCCTTCCCTGGGGTGGCAGTTGGGACAGCATTGAATAATTTCTCTTCCATTTTTGCCTCCTTTACATATTGACAGGATTTCCCCAGCAATACAATACTGTTAAGGACTTTTAGAGATATTAATCTGAAAAAATAAAATTACTTGTTTACATATTTGCATTAGCATATTAATTGCGTATTATTCATACTGCAGTTATTAATATTAAAATAACTGCTGTCTTTGAAGGATTAGCTAACAAATTAAATCCCTTCAATAGCAAGATCAAGAGGTAATTTCCTTTTCCGAACAATTTGTTTCAGATTCAATGCTTGATTTTTTTTTTTCAGAAGGCATCTAGAGAAAAATACCACAAGGACAGTTAAGCAGCTATTTAATACATCAAATATTTAAATACAGAACTAAAAAGGGCCCTAAACAGTGCAAGTCCAAATTAAATGCACTACTGTTAAAACTGTAGCCTTAACTGTGCCCAGCAAGGATCACTAGTGAGTTTTGAACCACAAGGAAGCAACTATCTAGCTTTCACAAATCACAGGCTAACCATGGAGTCCTTTTTCACCTCACAAAAGACAGTCCATAACACTCAACCAATCCAAAGAGACAGCGCTGCATTACCATGACTACACAGTCCAGTTGGTGGCAGATTCCTTTTCTACTATCACTAATTTGTAGCATGAGTTTCAACAAATCACTCAAGTCCCTTTCATGCCTGTCTTCTCATCTGAAGAACAGAAAGGTCTCATCTACCATCAAGGGCTTTTAGATGTACAACTCAAATGAGCTTTTAAAATCCAAGCTCCATTACTAATATTACATGAACGCAGACTGATGTCCACTCCAGAGGGGAAAGCAGAGGTGAAGGCTCACTACAGAACAGCAAAGAAATAGTGATCTATTCTCTGCAGGATGAATATAAATATTCTCCACACACAACAACCTATGGAACAACAGTGAACCAAATGCAGTCTCTAAATTCATTCTCCACTCTCTGAAAATCTGTTTATTATCTACATCACTACCAGACTAGAAAGCCAAGTTGAAGCGACCATGCATAGCGCTACGGAGCGGGTCTAACTGCTTAATCAAAGTGACCCAAGCACACCTCAGCAGCAGCTTCACTCTCTCACTGCATTAATGTAATCAGAACCTGTCAAACAGAAAAACAAAGTACACTGCACTTCTAAGGGAATTTTATGCAATACATTTACTTGTAAAAGAAATCTAGAGACATGGAAGAATGAGCAGAGCAGACCACTTTCAGTACTCTGAAAAAACCCGACATTTTAGTATCCAAGCAACCACAAAGAAGATATCATTTTACACAAGTTGAAAGCTGTGATCCTCTAGAATTTTATTAGGTTATTGGGACAGATTGTTTCCGAGAGTTGAGCAGCTCTCCTCCATTTTTAATAAGTTTTAGAGGTGTTTTTCCTACACTTTTTATGTAACATGCTTTTGTTCTGAGAGAGTAAGTGTCTACAGCATGATCTGACTCTGATTTAATGAGATCAGAAGCTGAAAAGGCCATAAATCAACACTTTATTGTATCAGTTCCAGCTTCTCAGGAAAATTATGCTCGAGTTTCTAGTTATTCTCTTTTACTCTTTTCTGCTAGTCCACTCCAGGCTCAAATTTCTAACAACAATGTAAATTTGCAGTTGCTCAAAATCCTAGAAAAAGAAAACTCAGGTTTCATATGCTGGGCAAGTCTCTTTAACAGTGTAACTTAATAGTATTACAGTTGTTAAATATCAAAACACAACAATGTCTGCCACATTACAGTATCAATCCTTTGCACAGTTAACTGTTCCACATTTTGTCACACTGTTTCTCACATATCTGTGCTATACTAATCTGTCGTATGTTCAGAACACAAATTACTTGAAAGATGCAAAAGGTCAGTAAGCTCCAAATCTGAGATCAAGACAGAAGCAAAAATCTGTTCTCACTTTTCAACAGACAAAATAAACCAAAATGTATTCCATCTTGTGACCTATGCCTTCAAAACGCAGCATTTAATCCTTCACATTAATCATACTATTTCTTCCTGTCCTCCATCCTCTAAGCGACAGAGAGAGGGAAAAATCCAGGGCTGGGTTGCAGAAGTGGAATGGGAGATGTAGAGAAACATTACATATATTGGGGAAAAAGGAAAAGCCACTGAGCAAAATGATGGTGCTTGGTATACCACAGCTTGAATGTGACGACAGGGGCTAGTGCTTTCAATTACACAAAGCTGACTTTAGGAGGAACATGGGCACAGCACGTGGTATGCTGGGAAGAAATCAAAGAAGAAATCAGCAGCCTCCTTTCTGCTGAGCCACTACCCCAACACCTAAAAGTCTTCTACTTCCCAAGTCCTGCTGGCTTCAGTTACAAACATAACTTGGTAGGGCATTGGAAGAGATATTCCCACAATACCACTGGCAGGTCCTCTGTGCTGCAGCGATCTGAATCACTTAATTCTTTATGATCAATTTTAGGAGGACTCCAGTATCAATCACTGAGAGATAAATGCTGACACAGTTCAGTATGCAGTGTTCCTAGAAACTGGTCATCCCCCTGTAGCGTCTCAAGACAGGCAAACCAGACTGAAGTACAACTAAACACATCTCAGAAGTACATATCGACTGGCGAGAAGCTAATAACACAAGTATAAACTGACCTGGCAGTGAAGGATACTTGCAAATATTGGCACTTGGAAAACAAATTGCCATAGGACATAAGATTCCTTAACTAAGATTACTTACTCCACCCATTCCAGAAAGGTAAGCTTTACTTTTTTTTTTCCCATACAGCACTTTCCTAACATGAGGAAACCTTGCACTGAACTACCAGAGAGAAGAATTCATGATCTGCTCAGAGCACTTAAACTGCTTATTTTGGTTGGCATATTGAATCTCTAGTTCTTTTCACAGAAATTTCCACCCCTTAGAATTCAATTTCCCCTTTTACGCAGAGGTATAGCGGCTTGTTTGTCAAATTCTTTCAATCATTTTTCCATTAGCTGTTTTCATTACTGAAGTTACTTATTGAGGGCTATAATCCTGCAATGCAAATTACAGTACTTACGGACCAATCTGCACTCTCAATTTCAGTTTATGAGCATAAGCGAACATAAACTATGTTTACACTTATACCTAGAAGTATCAACAGAAGCTTTTTTCACATATGTGATCAAATAACCTCATCTAGGTGTTCCTGCTCCGGCAGGGGGATTGGACTAGATGATCTTTTGAGGTCCCTTCCAATCCCTAACGTTCTGTGATTCTGTGATTCTGTGAAATAATGGTAAATACTTTTCAATTGTGTGTATTTACTTACCCACAGTAGAACAGCACAACACAAACATAAGCTAAGACTCCTTGTACTTTTATTGAGCTTGTTACGACTCTGATGAGCTGTTTTAAGGATAAAAGGTAAACAGTTGAAACATATGGCACATAATTATTAATAGAATATTTTAACAAATGTTTCTTATTTGGTAAATTCAAGATAAAAGTAGAAACATTTACATTAATAGAAATTTATTCTAATATTCCCCATTGTAGCGCTAACTATTCCATATATTGGTTTGAGTAATTATTGTACTAGCACCTAGCTGCAACTTTGCCCAAACTATAGACTGATAATGTTTCCTTCACCACTGATTTTTTAGTAGAATAACAAGTGAAAATAAACCTCCCCAAAAGTCAAGGACTGGAAGCTGACTTCTGTTTAACAGGAAGCTAACCTTCTGTTTAACGTCTTTATCAATGAT